AGAGACAGACCTAGGCCCAGCACTGCCAGCAGGCAGACAGCCGCAGCAGCTGCACTGACAGCAGCAGGACACAGCATGATGGTGGTGAGCTTAGCAGATCCCCCCCTCCTCTCACTCACACACACACACACACACAGAGTGAGAGGCTTATAAATTACCCAGTGATTTCCGTATATAGATGAGAAAGATAATGTGGCCAAGGTTGGCTGCTGATGGCTTGTTGTTTTCCTCACTCGCTCCTTGTTTCCTCCTCCAGTTTCTCTGCAACCATGTCTGTCCGCTGGTAATGTTAGCTGCACTCTGTGAGAGTGAGTCTGTGTTTGCAGGCACAATCTTGCTTACTCCTTCATTTCCCTTTTCCTGACAGCCTCGCCCCCCTCTGTCAGTTCCACCCTCTGTGACTCTCCCTCTGCCTGTACCTCCACTTCACCCCTCCCTCTCATACTCTCTATGGTTACACCTTTAACTCCCATTTCTGTTAAGTACACAAGGAAAGCCCACACCTATTCAGGACTGTCAATTACCTGTATGTCTGCATGCCTAAACAATGGTCTCTGTGCAAGGTTATTTGATTGACAAACTCTTGTTGTTAGGTAAAGCGCTTACCTTAAAGTGCTGACTCTCTATCAGATCAAATATTTGCTTTGAACTGCTTCCAAATCAAGAAGAATTTCACACCTAAAAGTCCAGATAAATGAGAGAAAGTGAACTCTAAATATAGCAGGGTCTGTTCATGAACTCCTTATTAGAGCTAAATCTGGATAGCGACAGTTTCACGGGTCATTGTCTCTCCCAGAGTGCAGCGATTCTTGAAATCTGAACACACTCCCTTTCATGGCTTGCACATTTGCCCTCCTAAATATCAGAACCGTGCCTGTTGAGGCATGACGCTGGCACTGAGTGCTTTTTGCAAAATCATTATGTCGCAAAAACAGAAATCTGCATGCAATACCACAGCTCTAGAGTCAAAGGAAAAAAATATCTTGCACTCCCTTTTAGTCATGAAGAGCTGGAGTCGCGCCACGCTCCCTTCACATTGCTTAAAAGTTATGGCCAACATGAGCCAAATGTACCCTTGGGCTTCAGTCAACAACGGTATCAGGATTCCTTTGCAAAGAGGTCAAGCAAGCAAAGACAGTCATACACAGTAAGTGACATGGACATGAAGTTTACGCAGTATTTTAGTGTTGTAAATATTTAAAAAAGCTAAATGCAACACAGTACAAAGAGGACTGCCTACTTCAGTGTCTGTGTGGAGCTGTGGAATGGGAGTTTCAGGGTGTGAGTTCAGGGTGGGGTAATAAACCACAACATAAGAGCAATTTAACACTTTCACTTTACAAAATATGTTACAAATGCATTTTGGTAAACACATAAACACTTTCTGTTTAAGTAAAGCTGCATCGGTGGAATCTGTGAATAACACACACACACACACACAAACACACACACACACAAGTGAAGTTTAAATAAAAACTTTTAGTCTGCTGAAATTATTTTAATCTGACACACAGTTGGATGGGTACAAAAACTATACACACCCATTCATGAGAAACACTTTAATTTTTGACCAATTTGATGAAATAAACTGAGTACAAATGAGAAATGTCAAAACTGTAACAAGTAAACAAAACTTAAAGCTGCACACACATTTATGTCACAGTTGAACAGTTTTAAAAGGACTGCAGCACTTCTACAATACAAAGTCAGAGACAGCTGTTAAGCAATAAAAAAAACAAAGGACACACCTAGTATTCAGTTTGTGTGGATGTTTTGACAAAAATAATCAGCAGGTAGTTTGAAACCGCTGTACAAAGTAAAGTATCCATCCAGCTCAGTGATTCCAGACCTTTCTTAATCCTTTGCAGACTGCACTTTTGTCATAGACCAATAACCCGACATAATTTTACACAAATGCACTACTGATGATATTGTTTGGACAGCGCTGCTGCAGTTAAGCTTAAGTCCACAAGGGGGAGCTTGACCCTCCTTTCAAAAGTGTGGACTTGTTTGTTCAATGCAGAAATACATTGAACCCTGTTCTATTTTTCAACCTTACATCCACATACATTTCCCTCACTTATAAATAAATCTAATCGCACACTCAGGCTCACTCATTAGGGATGTCAATGACGAGTTCAGCCTCGTCTCCCTCTCCTCTGTCTTCGTCTCCTCTGTCACTGTCTCCGTCGCTCTCGCCCTCCTCCTCAGCTGCATCTCCGCTAAACATCTGTCTAGGAACCCAGCTGAAGTGGCCACTGGCTGTTGGAGGAGCTGCAGGGCCTGATGGGTAATTAGCTGCCATTGAAGTAACGACCTAAGAAGATCAGAAAGAAGAAGTTGTTGTTTGGAACGACAAAGCGAGGGATGGACGGAGTGTAAAAGAATGATGAGTGGGGATTGATGGTAATGTCACAGATGACCGGAGTAAATCAGGACAAAGCATGAACAGTCATGGTAAAAAGACAGTACACTCTACTTAAAATCTAAGCTTTTATGTATCCGGATAGAATAAAAAATAAATAAATTCACCTGGTTCTTAGTGGGTCTTAAAATTAGGTAAATACAACCGTAACAATTGCATATTACAGTGTGTCATTAGGAGTGTAGGTAGCAGCCAGATGCTGCTAATCAAATGCACTTGGTTAATTGATAATCAGCAAATGTGAGCACCTTTATGAAAGCAGACGATTTGGCAGTTTTCTGATCTGGAGCATTCAGATGTGTGTTAACACAAGCCATCAGCAATGATCAGCAATCTTAGAGAAGCAACTGTTGCTGCCCAAGGGCATTTCCAAACAATCTGCCCCATCATTCTCCAGTGAGAAGGATTATTCGCAAGGGGCAAACATTCAAGACAGCTGCCAATCCTCACAGGAGTGGGTCTTAACACACAATGCTCAGAGAAATGGCAAAAAATACAAAACAACCAAACACAGCCTGTCAGCACAAACACCTTATATCAAGTGTCAGGTGCAGTGGTGCAGGGACGATGACTTGGCTTGCTTTGCAGCCGCTGGATTCAGGCACCTTGCAGTCATAGAGTGGAGCATAAGCTCCTGTGTACACCAAAGCATTCTACAGTCAAATGTGACATCATCTGTTGGCTAACTCTGCAACAGGACAAAGATCCCACGCACAGCAGCAACTCTAAAACAGAATTACTGAAAAAGCAAAGAATCAAGGTGTGATGGCTCAAAGTCCAGACCTCAACCTGACTGGAATGCTTAAGAGAGCTGTGCATAAATGAATGCCAACAAACGTCAATGAACTGAAGAAGACTGATAAAGTCACACAGAAAAAAATTACTTCCAATTATTGGTGCTAAAGGTGGGTCTACAAGCTACTGAGTCACTGGGCGCACTTTGTTTTTCCACAAACTGCTTCTGCAGTTTATGTTTTTGGTAAAGACCATGTGTTGTTTATCTCAGGTTGTATTTAGCTCAATTTAAAACCTCCTAACACCAGATCATTTTTTAAATATTATATCCTGATATGTAAAACCTTACAATTGACAGAGGGTGCACTTTCTTTTTTATCACAACTGTATATGCACTCATATATTTTTTCATTTTGGGGCTCAAAAAAAGGGTCTTGAAATGCCATTGTTAGAGCAATAAAAATGAAAAACTGTACTATGAAATATACATATTTTAGATGCTTTTTACTTTGTTATAAATATGCATCTAAACTGAAAATACTGGAAACAGCCTGCCGGGCCATCAAATATAAATAGCTGGTTTGTGTACAGTTTGTGAGAATAAAGCGTGAAGTGTTTGATCATAATTATTTTTATCTCTGAACATCTTGTTTCCCCTCTTCCTCTCTCACCTTCCCCGTAGTCTCTTTCTTGTTTTTTGCCGTCTTTGTTTTTCTCTCTTTCTTCATTCGTTCAGCTGGGGGAGCCAAATACTCTGGTGGGAAGGGCATCTGCCCAACACACACGCAGGCCCCAAATCATTGTCAAATGACCACACAAACATGCATGCACACAGTCAAAGGGCAGTTTATAAGACAGACACACAGAAAAACAAACAAAACAGACACAGAAGAATGAACAATAAAAAGACAGTGGAGCAATTATAAATCTAAAAACAAAAAGCAAGGAACAGACTTGTGAATAAAATAATGCAAAATTAAAAAAACATATTATGCTCTTTGATGAGAAGATGAATATGACGGCAATGTTATTGTTGTTGGTTGCAATAAGATAAGAGGGGAAAGAAACTCACAGCGTTGAGGTAGGCCCCAGAGCCGGATGACTGCAGGGAGTTCACACCAGGACGGGAAAGCAGGGAGAGATGAGGAGATGATGATGAAGGGAGGCACGCACCGGGACTACTTTTTCGCCTGAAAAGAAGGTCATGGATTAAATAAAAAGAAATATGAATGTGTTTTGTTTTGTTTAACAATTAGAAAGCACAAATGTTTCACTCAACTGTCCTAACAGGCTTACTTGGCTTGGACATGTAAAGTAAGCCCAAATAAACCTAGCTTTAAAATGCCCCCTACTGCCTTCATTGCATATCCATCCATCCATTTTCTGCTGATTATTCGGGGCCGGAACGTTGGGGCAGCAGAGAAGCCAAACCTCCTTCTCCCCAGCCACCTCCTCCAGCTCACTCGGTGGAACAGGGTGTCCTGGGATTACCCCGGGGCCTACTCCCAGTAGAACATGCATGGAACATTTCACTGCTACTACTCCTAGTACGTCCCAAATGACTGAACTTCTCACCCTGTCACTAAGTGGGAGGGCAAGCCACCTTCTCCCTCAGAGACAGGGTGACAGAAAGATTATGCTGAATTTTTTTTTCTCATACAGAATTGTGAAAACACCGTTCTTGTGCTAGCTAGTCACAGTTAAGAAAACGGAGAAAAACAACATTCAGCCACTGTAAAACAGTAAAAATACTCACTTTATGATTTATTAGTGTTGGCTAGAGACTCACACTAAACAAAGGGAAATCACTACTCTAACCTGTACCTTAATATCATTTAATGCTTGAATATAAACTGACTGGCCAAATCCAGTCACCACCTGGATTTAACACCTCGAATAGGAAAGAGCCTTCCACCAATAATTACTGTGGTAATTCACACGCTTCATTTATGGAGCTACATTTCAAAAGGGACAAATTAATGGCCTGCATGCATTCCGGATGATCTCTGAAACTACAAAAATTGGGCTAAGAACTGTTCAATACATCATTAAACCTGGAAGTGGTGATGATTGAATGACTCTAGATCAAATCATACAATATGGCTGTGTTTAATACTGAAAGACAGGGTATTTCCACACATAGCCTTAAGAAAACTACTTGGTGTTTAATTGGGGGAAAAGGCTTCAGTTTAGGGAGCATAAAGATTAGAATCTTGGGCAGTGGAAAAAGATCATGTGGTCATATAATCCCAGATTTATCAGATTTCAGATGGGAACCTGTTGGTCAGTGTTATGATCTGTAGTTGCTTCAGATTGTCTAGGGTTGGTTTGGTAGTGTTATTTGTCCGAAAATGAGATCAGCTAACTACCGGAATATACTGAATGCCCAGGATTTTTCCATCACTGAATTTTTTCTTCCCTGAATACACTGGCTTATTCCAGGATTATGTGATGGTTTCAATTACTTCTATCGTTGTAAGTATTCTTCCCTTATGACTTGGATGTAAATTAAAATACTATTTCAGTATCTAAGGCAGATAACCTAAGTATGAAGAATGCTTACATGATGTACATATTGTGAATGCCTGCTTTTGAAACCTTAATAAAAATATGAATTAAAAAAAAGAATACACTGGCTTATTCCAAGATGACAACACCAGAATTCATTGGGCTCAAACTATAAAATGAGTGATTCATGGAGCATGCAACTACTATGAATACTTATAACACACAGTGTTGTGCAATGCAAAGTAAACAGGTAACTTCGCATTGCACAAGACGTCTGTGGAGGGTGGAAATAAAAGGTTAAATATGAACCTACTCAAAAGTGAATGATTCTGGTTGATCTACCTGGTAATTTATTTACTTAAATAGCCGACTTACTTCTTTGCTCCCTCTCGTTCCCTTTCCCTCTCTCTGGGTCCTTCCCCTTCACTGTTTTCCGAGGAAACAGTTGCTTCTGAATCTGATGATGAAAACAGAGACAAAATTGATCCACAGGACTTCAGAAGCAACAGCTTTTGTTTTTACTCATAAAGGTTTTATGTTCCTAGTCTACCTGATGAGTCTTCATCTACTCGCTCATACTGCAGCAATCTGTCCAGAAGAAAGCTGGAAAACATGTATAGAAAATTATTTTTTGCATTTCCATTAGGATGCACAAAGCATACCTATATGAAGACACAATCCTCACAAACCTCTTGTCCCTGGAAACTTTCAGAAGTTTCCTCTGTGCTCTCCTCAGCTCCTCCTGAAAACACTCCTGCTCCTGGAAAAGGAAACCAGCGAAACGAAATCAGCGCAAAGACAGACACGCAACTATAGCACGGCGGAGGAAACGGGACGGTTTAAAATGAAAACACTCACATAAACAAGAAACTTTAATTTCCGTTTGAGATTTTTGTATTTCCGCTTGTAGTCGACTTCGACGTCCGCTTGGCCGTTCATGTCTAAAATGCAAATAATTAAACCATGAAATCTGCAGTTTGTTAGCAGCAGTGGATACTAACTGTAATTGTTTTATAGCAGGTAGTGTCTGTAAAAGCACATTCTTCGTTTCCAGCGGAACCAGCCTCCGTACCTTCAGCTAGCTCCGATATCTAGCCTGCTACCTATAGCTAGAGCGCCACGAACAGTTCAAATGTTTACGAAGGCTTATTACAAAATATGCTAGCACGACTCAGGTGAATTTAAAGCTAATTTATCTCATGACACCTCTCTCTTGAGTCTGCCGTGGGACGTGCTATTGTTTACCTATCTGACGTCGTATTCGTGCGTCTTTCTTCTTCTGCTGTTACAGTTGTTTGACATTCACAATTTCGGTGCTTTCCCGCCACCTCCTGGGCAGGAGTGGAAGTACCAACTTTAAAAATCCCAACAATATTTTATATTTAAATCCCCTTCTTCTTTTTCATCGTCATCCAGCTGTTCTCTTTATGGGTCACTACTTCGGATCACTTGTCTCCATCTGACCCTGTTCCCTGCGTCCTCTGTCACACCAGCCCTCTGCATGTCCTCCTTTACTACACACATGCATCTTCTCTAAAGTCTTCCTTTTACCTTGTTTTAGCTCATTTTCAGTCCAGTCCTTGTAGCTGACTATTCTCAAAGGAATGTGTTTTTGTTTGTTAAAATGGACTGGTACATAAATGGTGCTTCTCTATGAATTTGAGCACTCAAAGCACTTTTTTTAGCATAATCCTCATCTGGACCTTCAGCTGATCCATTCACTATTCATTGAAGCCTTATCAGTGGAAGGGCAGCTGTCAAGAAGACATTTTAATGAAGGTAAACAGGGCAACAGGTCTTATAGAGTGATGAATCCAAACTGAAACTTTTGGTTCTAATTGAGAGAGGTATGACTGTAGACACTCTAAACAGTATCTACAGCCATCTGTAAAACACAGTGGAGGCTGTGTCATGTTTCAGGACTGCATTTCAACTACTGGTGTTTGGGATCTGGGAAATTACGAATCCAGAAAAGTATAGCCATTCAATATCATCTAGAAAACATCTCAATTGACACTACTTTAATTTTTAGTATGACAGTGATTTCAAACATACTGCCAGCGCATTGAAAGCATAAGCAAAAAAACAAACAAACAAAAAAACGCACACAATGGAACACTATCAGTCAGAGATTGGCCTCCCCAGAGACCAGGCCTCAACATTATTGAAACAGTGTGGGATCATCTTGACAAAGAGTAGAATAAAAGGCAGGCAACATCCAAAGAAGAGATCTGAATGAACTTAAAGCAGAGGGAAACTAATCCAAAAAGGCTTCTCAATTACAGGGAGTTCTGGCTGTGCTGAAGAATAAAGGTGGTCATACCTTTTTACATGCATATTAATTATCAAGCTTATTAGAATTCTTGTTTCCAAATTTTCATTTATGTCTGCATGTTTTTACACAAAACATAGAGAAGTTAGGGATGGCTCACAACGTTTGCACAGTGCTCTAAAACTATTCTCTCCCTGACCATTAAAATCAAGTTGCATAGGTCCTTCAAACATTTGTGCCCATGACAAAATATTTTCCATCTGCAGGAGTGGAAACTTCAGCCCCACTGGGGAACTAAGTTGAGCCTCTTAAGTGCATATTTTTAAAGACCTGTTATGCAGACTTGGATCAACTTTCTGGTTGCAACTTATAAAAGCAGGAGTAGTCACTGAAAGGAACAGTGTAGGGCAGAAAACCAAAATATGGGCTTACCTTGGCCCAGTCTTCCGTAGCCTGAACCTTTCTCTCTGGCCTACGAGGAGTAATCCAAATGTGAATTCTTGCAAATCAAATTTCCTCATATTGTTCCTCCTCATCTCTCTCTCTTTTTGCACTGGGATTCTGCTGAACTCCCTTAGATATGTCTCCCTGCAATTTTCTGTGCCCGATGTCCCAAACTTGGGTTTGACATAGTATGCTCTCTTGTGTGTTTATTCCCTTGTTTTCTGCATGGTGGGAACTTCTCAAATTTTTCTAAATGTATAAATAAACACGAAGAGGAGACGCAAATCCCTGGGAGGATTGTGTTAGGGAGGTCATCCAGAGTAAAACCCATACCAAATCAAATATGTGCAGATTTCAAGCTTTTATAAATACACATTTAGAGAAAGAAAAGTTCCACATGAACAAATGCAAGCATCAGATGTCTTTTATTTCTTTTAGTATAAAGTATTAGACATATATTACTAGTAGCAGTTTTTTTCTATGTATTAAGCATTATCTGTATTAGTATTGTAACACAATAGTTTGTGAAACTAGACCTGATTTATTAGGAATCGATCACAAAGCTCATGAAACATCCTTTTATATTCTAAATATCTAAATTTGCTAGCCAGCAATGCTTTACAGCTACTTTTATCCTCAGTCAAGAGTTACGTAGCATGCATGCGCGTCAAGACTCTGCATTTTATTAAATCTCCCTGTCCCCTCCACCTGCCGCATGCTGCGGTGCACTGAATTTTCTGCTCAACCTTAGTTCAGCACAGTCACTGGCCAGCACCCAGCACCATGAATTATAGATGAAGAACATTTTGCAGAGATGCTGCTTCAGTGCACATAGCCCACAGCCAGACCCTTGAGTGTGTGTGGGGGAGTTGATGGGGTGTGGGTGAGACAGAGATATATATATATAAAAAAAAGTTTGGATAAGTGGACAGGCTGGAGGGAGGTTTATTTATTTATTTATTTTTTTAAGACAGAAAGTGAGAAGAAGCAGTGGGCGCAGATAGTGTTTCTCCAAGGGCAGGGAAACGCTGACTGCACATTTCAAGATGCCACCCCTTGCAGTCGATATAGAACCCGGCAGGGCACCAATAGCGAAACAGCATCTTTTAATGCACCTTCCAGATCAGGCAGATATCAGAGAGCCACCTTGCAAAAATAAACACACACTGTCTCCCTTCCAGGCAAAACAACTGCCAATATGAAACACAATATCTCACTGACTTGCCGCCCCTCTCGTTGTTTCCAAAGACACTGGCAGACAGAAATAGACTCCTCTGTGTCTGCTGCCATAAATCGCTGCTGCCAACCACCCAGCCAGCCAGCCAGCAAGCCCTCCTGGCAGCTCCAGTCATCTGCCTCTCTCCCACCCCTCCATTTCTTCCCTTACTTTTAATGGAGCCATATTTTCTCGAGTCAGGCTGTGGCTGCTGATCTGTGCTTGTCAATACGTTTCCTCTTGTTAATTTTCTGCTTGGATGTACGTCCTCGTTGCTCTAATAGTCTGACTGTATCTCACTGTTGTTCTCGTTGTACTGGCATGTGTGTTTTCCCTCTCTCGCTCCTTTGCTCTCCCTCCCCATATTGATGTGTTTGTGCTGTATGTCATTAATTTTGTTTCTCTCCTTCTAACGCCGTCTTTCGCTCTTATTTCAATTTCACAGAGGTCTTTTTGTTCCTGCTCTGTCCTATACACAGAAAACTGGAATGTACCAAAACCACGCTAAAGACACCAACAACAACTGCCAAAAAAGCCTTCTCTGTGGTCAAAAGGTAAGCTTCGAGTTCTATGGTTTCCACCTGCTGCTGTGTTTGGAACAGTTGAGAGCAGATACATTACCTCTTGAACGTTCTTTATTTTTAGCTTCCTGTTTTTTTAAACTGTTTGCAGTAGGATTCCTGTTCTCTTTGTATTTTATCTGCAAGGTTATGTCTCCTTTGTGTGTGTGTGTGTGTGTTACAGGAAAAGCTCATCCAGGCTATTAAAAGAATCAAGCATGAGGTAGATGAGTGCAGAGAAGCAGAAAGAGAGACATACATAGAATCAGTGGAAGTAGAGGTACCATCCCCGCCTTATTCATTATCTTTTATCTCTTTTTACACACAATTATTTCAGTTTATTGCAGACTAATTGAGTGTGCTGAAGCCAGCATTGGTTAAACACAGAAACCCTTCAGTTTGACCTACATACTAAATTTCTTTCTTTCCATTTTCCCTGATTTATCTTTCAGAACAGGTTTGATGACCTAGAAAGGGAAATCAGAGCAGAGTTTCAGAACCTCCACCGCTTCCTGGATGAGGAGGAGTGGAGGGACCTGGAGCGACTGAGGAGGGAGAGACAGAAGCAACTGAAACAGCTGAAGGAGAGAGAGAAGAAGATAGCGGGGCAAGGGCGAGACCTGGAAAAAGCCATCGCAGTGCTCAACAACAAGCTGACTGAGGAGGACAGTCCTAAGCTGATCAAAGTGAGGAAGAGTGTCACTGAATAAGAAGACACGACATGTGATTGTTAATTAAACTTGGGCTTTTATGAACTTGACTCTAATTATACTCTGCAAAGCTGTGGTGTGTTGATAGGCAGGGTTTATGTGTGTGGTGAGGAGCAGCAGCAATACAGTGCTTTATCTAGAGCCACTGTTTTCCACCCTGCTCCTTTGACACACTCGCCTTAGAGTAAAAATAACTTTCTATAATTGTTCATCCTCTTTAAACACTTTCACAGTTAGAGCATGCATGTTTACAAAGGGCCACCCTTACACAACACCACTTTACTGGCACTTATTTGATCAATAAGTATTACATTAGATTCGATTGATTTGATTAAAAAGCAGTTTCTCATTTAGAAAACAAAAGCCCAAACAGCAGACCCGTGTCCAAATACAAAGCTTTCTATGAGAAAAGTGCTCTGTTATGTTGTTTTAACTAATCAAGGCTGAATTCTTTTCTTGTAGGAAATTCAAGATCTCATTAAAAGGTACGTTTTCTCAGTAGCGTGACTTTAGTAAATAATCTGAATCTTGACATTGCCTCTTAACTCATTTATCCTGTGTGTATGGACGTTTAGCATCTGTGAGACTGTCTTACAGATGGACCTCCTACCATTTAGTCCTTCCCTCTGTGTCCTAACAGATCTCAGGTCAGCTTTGTTCTCCCAGCGGAGGTGGACACAGAGGTTCGCTCTGGCCAGTTTGTCGGTCCCATCCAGTACAGAATATGGAAACACATGAAAAGCTGCCTCTACCCAAGTATTTCCATGCAGCATCATTCATTCGATGCAATACACATGTGAATAAGCAGCATCAGTCACTGTCCTCAATCTGTTTCTGTTTCTAGATATTACATCAGTGACCTTTGACCCTGAAACAGCACACCCGAATCTGACTCTCTCCCAGTCCTGCACTTCAGTTTGGTTTGATGAGGATAAAGACACAAAAGACTTCCAGGCCAACCCGCGGCAGTTTCACTATTACTACTGCTTGCTGGGCCGTGAGGGCTTCACCACAGGGCGACACTACTGGGAGGTCGAGGTTGGGAGCAAGACGGCGTGGAGGCTGGGTGTGGCAAGAGAAGACGTCCCAAGAGGGGAGATGTCTGCCACAGGCACCTCCAACGGCCTGTGGACCTTGGCACTGAAGAGCGGCTCTATCCTAGCCTGCACTGACCCAGACCCGATAAAGATCAAGGTGTCGCTCTGCCTCGTCCGCATTGGCGTGTTCTTGGACTGTGAAAAGGAGGAGGTGACTTTTTATAATGCCCTTACCATGGCACCAATCTACACCTTCTCCATGGGCACTGTGGAGGTTCCTCTGTTTCCCTTCTACAACCCATGTGACACAGATTATGGAAAGAATATGGCACCACTGAACATCTTTATCCCTTCCCTATAAGAAGCTGTTCAGCTGGAACCGAACATTAAGACATTTGCAGAATTAATTGCCAATGATTTCATCATGATTTTTCATTTTTGAAGCACCTCTCCAACTGGATTACTTAACATCTTACTCAAAAGTATAATAGCTAGATGAGTCAAAAATAAAATTAATAGTTGCTACAGTGATTCTATTGTGTCTCTCATTTTAAGAAGAAGAGAGTCCCTCTCATTGATTATGCACTTATTTCCTGGTAAAAGAGGGTATAAATGGAAAAACTCAGTTTATGAAATAAACACAGGTCACTGCTTCTGTAACTTTCCTTCACTCTTTAAGGTTGTCATTTGCAGCCAATCTGGAGCTTCAGGATCCACAGCAGGTGTAAACAGAGCTGTGATGTTCTTACCTTTGGCCTACATATAAATAGCTCTGTGTCCTGTGTCCTGGGGCAGCTATGGAAGCTCAAAACGCACCAGAGGGGATTAATGTGGTCAGAAAGTGACATGTGTTCCCCACAACAAATCACGGCTGGCATTGTGTGAGATCTCCGCTTGGTGGGATAGCCCTGAGACGGCACTGTCCTTCTGAAAGGTTGTTAATTGCAGAGAAAGAAAAACTAAGACAGCAAGGCAGCAGATGTCATAATCTTTTGTTTATTCTTAGTATTCCTTTAGACATGAAATAAAGATATTGTCTTTACAAAACATCTGTGTGAAGTGTTGTGCAAAAAGGGAGTACAGAGAGAGAGAGAGAGACCATGTGAGACATCACACCACAACCAGGCCAGGAGCAGGAATTAGAGAGGATCAGAGCAGAGACAACTCACATAGTGCAAGGAGTACCAGTGGTCTTAAAAGTGGTGGGGGTTTTCTCTAATCAGAGGTGGGTATGAAACCACAATCCCTCTGGCACCAATTAGCTGTAATAACTCTTCCTTCCACTCACCGTCTGCCTCTCTCACACTCATACTCACTCTAAGTGGCTTTCTATTGCAATCACTGACAGCACACAGTAGTGGCGTTGTGTGGAAATGTAGTTTTAGCCACCTCTCATTAACCACTCACAACAACATAACCCAAACCCACACAAAGCTTTGTCATTCATCTGCTGCTATCATGAACTCACTCACAAACTCCAAACTAACCCATAGACACTGTTAATGGAAACATGCTTTGCTTGTATGCTGCCTACAATTAAATCAGACTCTTTTCATCTCTTTTAGAGCCCAACCAACAAAAGAGTTTAAAGACCGGAAGCAATACTTGGTAATTTAAAAATGCTTTTTTCTTTCAGACACATCAATCATAAAGCAGGAACTTCAGTAACACTTGAGGGAAGATGAACAACTTTAATAATTGACCAACGCGTTTCGGCTTGTGGCCTTCATCAGGGTCATAGTAAATCATTGTAAAAAATTGCTTAAATACAAGACAGGAAACAGAAAAAAAAATCAAATTAACCAGTCAAAACTTCATAGATAGGTCAGCTGACATATAATAGGTATTGGTTAATTGGCTAAGTTACGCCCAAGTAAATACCAGACTAGATCATTTACTTGGGCGTAACTTAGCCAATTAACCAATACCTATTATATGTCAGCTGACCTATCTATGAAGTTTTGACTGGTTAATTTGATTTTTTTTCTGTTTCCTGTCTTGTATTTAAGCAACAGCTTTCTGGGTTGACCTCTGTAAACACTTTCCTGCTGATTTTATGACTCAGTCACAGATTTTGAGTAATACTGAAGAAAAATCTTTCTGGTGATATGTCGGTCAGGCTCTAATCACTTTGATCACACACATTTCTTTCACATTAACACATCGTAGGTTAGCCGGCAATTTTTGCTTTGTTCATTCAGGTGTGCAAACTGCATATTCTGGATCAGTGAACATCCTCCTCACTAAAAAGGTGCCATTAGAATGCGGCTAACGACAGAGCACAGGCCAACTATCCAATATACATTTTAGGCACTAAAACAAAGACAAAGAGTCACTTGAATATCTCAGAGTTACAATACGTTTTTACAATATTCTTGTGGCTTCCATCACATTCACACTCATGATTTAAAACACTGCACTTTTTGTTTTTTTCTCTTCACACTGCAAGACGACTGAAGCAGGCACATGGATACTTTGCTCACAACAAATGGAGAAGCACACATAAGAGTTTCATTTCTGTACAAACTCCCTGTGCATAGATTCAGCACACACTCGCTCATATATCACACGCACACTTATAGATACGTGCATCATAGGCATACGGACTTTAAAACGCACACAACGATGGCGACATTAAAAACACCACTCCTGTATTCGCGCACACTGACACAACATCTGGACGATAGAAGCGGAACGTGCCGTGGGCATGCTGCAGTCAATGCTGTAAATGACACTGGTTAAACATTATTAATATGTAAATAGTGTGAGAGATACGGTGTGCTGACAGCAGCGGATAATAACTGGTCTAAAATAGGCTAATACAGTCTCGATGGGAATTTACAATATTTGGAAGTTGATTTAGTTCAATACATTAGTGAATATTAGTATATATAGTGTGTGTGTATATTTATATAATTATATATATATATTTATATATTAGATTGAAGTTTGTAGAGAAATTTAAATGATTTTCTTTTTTAATATTAAGTATGACACATTAAAAACATTCAGCCTCATGGTGGGGAGGGGTTACACTTGCATACACATGCAGTATTTACAAGGCTGGAGTCCATGTTTGTGTTTTACATGTGTGTGTCTGTATCTGTGTGTATTTATATGAAGAGCTTTGTTAGTACTGCCAAATAGCGTTGTGGTTCCCACACAGATGCAGGCTGGAGAGCAGGCGTATACGTCTTTGTACACATATTACATTAAAAGACCTTTGTCCATGTGTAATACATCTGACTTATTGACGCTGTTAACCCATCTAATGCTGAGGCACCTTGAGTTTATTTTTGTATTTTTGTATTTTGTATTTTTTGTAATTTTAGTTTATTTATTCTGTTGCTCTTGGTATCAAATCTGACATCTAAATCGAGCTCATTTTATGGCTTTTTCAGATGCTGACAAAACACCTCTTATTCATTTACTCATAAGAAAACTCTTTTAGTAAGGAAAGCTATAAAGAAAGGCCAGCTGACTGTATACGGATCTACTTTTAGTTTCCCTACATTCCTCTGACCATTTGATCCAACATGCTTTTTTTGATGTACACACTGTCAGTGTGTACATCAAACACTGACAGTCACTGGTTTGCCACTGGTCAGTTAAAACATGAAGTAGGGACGTGCACATTAAAACGAACCTGCACACCTCCTCTTTACCATAAGTACCAAAAGAGTTTCAGCTGAAATTGCATTGACTGGACATCCTGAATACCAGGTCAGCTCAACACAGACAGTGTCATGGATTTGGTGAAGGCTCCATACTGCTGGTTTTTGAAGCCAGTGAGGCATAAATATTTAGTTTCTGCCAAGTTTTACAGCATTTATGTAAGCGAGCAAAAACGAAAGCAAGCAAATGAAAGCAGAATGAGGGAGAAGAAGAAAGGGGCGTGAGGATAAAGAAAGGAAGGAGAAGTGAAAGACCTCCACTGAGGCTAAAATCCCCTCTACATAATGCATGATTATCTCCGAATTAGTCTCGCAGTTTTCATTTGTGACGATATGGGGTGAAATACAAAAAATGCTGAGGAATTTGTTTTTTCAAAAGTCCCTGGATCCAGATTTGGATGACATTCAATAACTTATCACTTCTAAGACGGACCAAGCCCAGCTCTTTTAAAACTGTCACATGAATCCACTAATACCTTTTGTAAATTAATCAATCAACCAAATCAGTCATATAGCCTCCTTGGTGGTCGTAGTAACAAAAAAAGAAGAATGAACAGGGGCAAAGAAAAAAGAAGGTGGTGATAACGGCAGAAAAAGAGCAAAAGAATCATGCTCTAACTATGTGAACTTACCACACACTTTGATTTTATATTTCATACTGCAGGCACGGGGGGGTCCCTTTAAGCTGCTGGAAGTTTTAGCTGTTGTGAGTTTCCCATTAAATTGTAAGAGTGCTGGGATTTTTATGGAGCTATGGGGAAATCCAGATCAAAGACAATAAAGTGGATGATCCGGACTTGGGGGATCAGCCCGCAAAACACAATTTAATCGTCTGAAATTTCCACTGGGAGTGTGAATCTCAATCTCAAAGACTAGAAATAATGTGGTTAGTATTTTTAGTATAAGTGTGTGTGCGTGTGTGGTTAATGTGATAATGCACTGCGGATGTTTCTAGAGGACTGGCTCAAGTGAATGAAATCCAAAATTGAGCTATGTATAAAACTTCACCAGCAGTGTGATCTGATGGGGTTTTTAGTTCATTTAGATGATATCGGTGCCATCACATATTTTAGGAGGCTTAAGATGACACCAGCTGAAAGATTTTATCGGCTTCATCCATGTGCTGTTCATGTGCTGCTAGAGGAACAAGCGTCGAAATGGGAAATGATGGTTAGTTAGGGTCAAATAAGCTGTTGTAGTGAGCTGTTTCAATGAAATGTCGTAAACCTTTCAGGATACTTTAGAAAAAGACCTCATGTGGAGTAAACATTTTAGTTGTAAACTCTGCAAAGGATTGAACTTGCAGTTTGGCAGTTTAACTTTAAAAATGAACAGAAAAACAAGGCTGCGAGGCGTGTACAACTAAAATGTTTAACAATCAAAAGCCATGTTATGTGAAGTGTTTCTGAGCCAGAAAGTCTCAAAGGTTTAAGTGTTAGTTACAGATAAGTGAGATTATCAAGGTAATACTGTGTTCAGGCATTAGACATGTTAAATCGAGGTCCTCGCCCCAGCTGCAGTGGTTTCCTCATCATTTGGTAAGGGGTGTTCGATTGTCTACAGTAGTGGTGAGCGGTGGACAAGATCTGTGGGGCTTCCTTTGTGTTTTTGCACTTCTCAGGTGGTAGTAGTTGAATCCTCAGCTACCGTGCCATCTTTGCCCGCCTCCAATATGGCACCACTAGCTTTCAGCTCCACTTCAGGGGTTTTAGGAGCGACTGCTTTTGGAGCTGAGCCTTTGATAATATCGGCGTGATCCGGGCTCAGTTTGGAATCCGGTCCAGGTTCGGGCGTGCCGTTGGTAATTGGTTCTGGTGTGGTTGGCTTGGGGTGCTCAGGGGTGGGAGTAAGGGCACTCTTACTATCAGGTGTTGGAGTGGTGGCTTTGGGAACAGCTGGTTTAGGCTCTGGGCTTGGGCTGGGCGCGGGTTTTTTATCGGCCTTGGGTTCTGGGCTAGGGGCTGGACTAGGTTTAACAGCTGCTCC